AGAATAGCAGATATCTTCATGGGCTATCTCGAACAGACGCGACTGAGTGACGCTATCAATAAAACAACATACTACCGTCGATACGTTGATGATACTTTTGTTGTTTGTAACGACATGAGTCAGGCATCCGTATTATTTGACCGCCTATATGAGATCCACTCAAACATTAAATTCACCATGGAATACGAACACAACGATGAGTTCAATTTCCTAGATCTAAATGTAAAAATAAGAGACGATGGAACGGTCGAAAAGTCCATCTACAGAAAAGAAACTTGGACCGGACAATACCTTCACTACAACAGCTTCTGCCCTATGAGCAATAAGCGGGGATTAGTAAGGACACTGTACGACAGGGCTAGGAAGTTATGTTCGCCCAACAAGATAGAAGAAGAATTAAGCTTCGTTGAAAAATGCCTTGAGGAGAACGGGTATCCAAAAGGATTTATCCTAAAGTACAGCAAAGAAAGAGATGAGAAAGAGAAGTATCCAACAGTTGAAAAGAAGAAAGTATTCATTTGCCTCCCATACAAAGGAGAAACAGCATCGCGAAAGATTGAAAAAAGGATGAAAGGAGCAATCAAGAGATGCTTCCCTGCAGCCAATCTAGTGACACTATACAGTACTACATGCTCTATAAGCCAATCAAAACTGGATAAATACCCTGCTAATGTTACCTCCAACTGCATTTATAAATTTACGTGCACCTGCGGCAGCAAGTACATCGGAAGGACAGAAAGAAGGGCTTCTCTCCGGTTTTCAGAGCATATTCCGAGAAACTTATGCTTAAAAGGAAGCAAATATTTACAAAGTGCAATTACCAGACACCTTGTGGATACAGGCCATTTTGTTGAGATTTCCAAATCCTTCAAAATATTAAACATACAAAGGACAGCGAATCTACTACGATTTGCTGAAGCAATTGCAATCAAACGCCTCAGATCAAACTTATGCACACAGAAAGAGAGTGTAGTCAATCTCTCACTCCCTTGGTAACCATATCACTTTCATTACAGTGATTAATCATAGACACTAGTGAGATCAACTCACTAAGCAAGTTTTCAAATTGATGAACTTTGACCTTGTTGAGTTGCCATGTTGACACTGTTTATTAGATTTTTCTGTTTTCTGTCTTCTCTCACCCACCCACCCTTTTTCTTTCTTTTTTCCATAGTTTGATAGTATATAAATTGATGGTAACTTAAACTACAAAAAGTTGTAATCCTTATATTCCGGATGCGTTTATCTTATAATGCTTTCTGTATTACCTTTCAAACAATGAAGTATGAAATGTTATTAATTATAACCATTGTAATTTCAGGTAGTTTGCAGCTGATGGGAGCCTGTGAAATAGAATGATATCATTTTATACTGCAAATCTGGTCTTTCTATCTCTATCGAAATTTATCAAGGGAACCAAATGTATGAAATGGTAGAATGATAATAATAATAACAAAAGTTGTTTGTTTACAAATGAATGAGTTGACTAAACAGTTTACAAGCTCATTTTGATTGGATATGAAGTGATTATTAGTAGTAGTATTAATAGTCAGTTAAATGTTCACCTTGACCTTAGTGGTGGACACACACACACATTAATACACAAACAAACACGTGCACACAGAGTTCAAAATAATCTTTGTGTCAAACCAATCCTTAAAACTAATAGGTCATAAAAGTTACAAACGAAAATATTTTTAAAAAAATCATTTTTGTAATGAATTTGTCTTTGTTATGCATACACCTAGAAGGCAGATAGAGATAGAAATAGATAGCTGTATTTGTGCTTTGAATTGGAGAGAATCCTGTCTACTTAGAATAGAAAATGGCCAGTTACATTTATATGGTGTGTGTTTACAAATGTGTGATAGAGGAGTTCTACTGAATTTCTATCCCTACCAAGTTGAGGGATTTGATTTCATGCTTACTTTTGATGGCAATCGAGAGATCACTAACAAATTCAGTAGGTTCAACTGACTGGTTGCGACATAAAACGATGCACAGAAGTGCAGAAGTCCGAGTTGTCACAAAGGAAGACAAAGGGGATTTGAAAGAACGTTAATAAGCAGAAATGTGAGGGAGACAAAGTAGTAACAAGCGAAAGGATGAGGTTCAATGGATATGTCAGATCACAAACAGTGGATGCATCTGCACCATCGACAACGACTTCGAGCCAATATCATCAATAATTTCTAGTCACTGGTTCTCGGAATCCTGACAACCCCAAACCAGGCAGTCGACACTTCCTTACGTGGCTGGCTCAAACAAACTGTCAAAGATTTCATGGACTGATTCTAAGTGGCGAAGTTCAACAATAACGTCCCAGGAGTGCGAACGCTCTAATGACCTTGAACGCATGCTAGTCGTTGGCTAACCGCACCTGTCATTATCATAGATGAAATATCAACGCTATTCACCAACTAAGCGGCAAATTTCACTCAGATCACGTTTTTAAGTACTTTTTGGACAAAGTGGTAATAGCTCGTTAGGGTTAGTTAGGATCAGGGTCATAGTTAGCATTAGGGTTAGGTTTACGGTTAGGATAAGGGTTGTAATTAGGATTAGTGTTAGGCTTACGACTAGGGATAGATTTCGAGTTGATGTCATTTATTTCAATTTGTTTTCTTATCCACATTTTCCTGGTATGTAGTTGTCGATTCTCTTACTGAAAACCACAGTTACTCAACGGAGAGCTTTTGGGGAAGACTGCACAACAGGATAAGAGAGACAAACAGCTCATCTTTAGTCACCTCGGTGAATACACATGTACAGAAACTAGTCTAACTTAGCAACTGATACTCCTCATTATAACTGGGACGTACTTTTAAGTCATATCAGAGAAAGATACCCTGTTTAATGTGTTTTCATGCATTTCCTTGTAAATATATACGTCATTTTGTGTGCGAAAGTCACTTATTTTTATGATTGGTCGGCTGAAGGTCACCCGTGCGTTCGCATCCCCTGGGACGCTATTGTTGACCTTTGCCTTCTAAGTTTTGGTCTGACCACCACCGGCTCTTCACCAACCTGATTCTTTGTCAGCCAACATTGGTCGTCGAGGAAGGTGATAGTTAGGCATGCGTAACATATGTGCCCTAGCCATCTCAATCGATGCATTAGCTTCACAACCTCATCGTTTGGCTTTCCCTTCTTGCCTAAGACTCGACACCTAGCCTCAATATTACTAATACTATTATATCACCTGACATGGGAGATAGGTTGGGGGCACCAATGATCAAAGATAGCAGATTTATCACACCTTTCACTGTCAGTGGCTATATCTCACAGGTGTATATGAGGACGTAGCGAACTGGTGAGCAGTACAGATGTCCTTGGATCGATAGCAGGATATCACATCTACTCCAGAGATGGCATAAGTTGACACACGGCATATGAACCCGTTTTTCTCCGTGCTGAGATTTCGGAAAGGGTTAGGACTCAGTTACTCGGTACGGGACTATGAGCCATACACTTATTACATGAGAGCTGACGGTACTACTTAGTTGTCTTGATGAAGTAGGTGGAGTGAGATTTTAATCCTGAACTTATCAACCGGAAATTTGGCGCTTCAACTAATCGACTACATGTTCATGGCTTGAAGAAAAAAAAACTTGTTTACGAGTGTGAATTGCTAATTTGATCCGTAAAACTCAAGAGTCTAACATAATCCTACAATGGAACTGACTAAAACGCCTGTAAAACTCAAAATCGGAATACTAATCCCCAACTGACTAGTCACTACATGATGGATGTTCTAAGGGGAAGGCGTAGTTGGTGGGGTCTACTAAGTCAGCTGTGAAGTAGACACTCATCGATAGGATTAATTAGCGACAGCACTATATTGTTAATTGACGTAAGTTAGGAATCACACACAGATCACTAGATTCTAACCCAATGGTGGTTAAGTGGTTAACATGTTCGCTTCGTAAACTAAGGGTTATGGATGTATCGTTCTGTAGAGTCTCAAACGAGGACGAAACGGCCATCCAGTTCTCCTTCAGTTTTTTGTTTGTTTTCATCCTCTGATTGTCAGTTTATGACAGAATCCCCTAAGCAAAATTTAAAAGTTACTGACGTGATACCGACCACAACTATAATGCAGTTAGGCTGAATAATCATGATAACCAGAATGAGAAATTCCTGAATACAATCCCGGCAAAGTTAAACTTTAAGCACCACTAACTAACAATCAGTACATGACCTCGAAAGCACCAATCACGTGAAGGAGGTATTTTTGTGTTTGGAATACATTTATTTATGAAAAAAAATGCATAAAAACTGTAGAAAAATGTTACAGAGGATACCTTGCATGTGATAAAAAGATAGCTCTCAGTTTTAGGTTGGAGTATCAACAGAGTATAATTCCATTGTGGGTAAAGTTTATTTTGATAAAGTCTAATAGTGTTATGCAGTAATACCTACTGAGCAACAAAGTGTGCTCAAAACGTGATCGTCAGTAAATATTACTGCATAACACTGGGAGACTTTGTTAAAATAAATTTTACCCACAATGGAATTATACTCTACCACCACAGTGCACAAGTTCTATTCTTATATCAACAGAGTAATTTAACCACATTCTATGCATGTAATTATTTAGGTCTTCTAACCCCAACAATCTTTCCTGAACCTATCCGTAACGTGAAAATTTCCCTAAACTAACTGTAATCTAACTCGAACCAACCCTAATGTCGCCTTTATTAGGTTAACCTAACCCTAACTTGTCCTTGGCTTAAAGCGTAACTTAATCTTTCCCAAACCTAAGCTGAAACTTGCCAGATATCCCACTTAATGGCATAACACTTCGATGAGCATATTTTTTTTAATGATAATGACAGCATTATTTGCCATTGAGCGTTTCAAGGTCATTGGTGCGGTCGCACTCCATTGGTAGTTATTTAGTTAGCTAGTTAGTGGTGCTTAAAGTTTAACTTGGCCACAATTTACCCTTGAAAGAAGATATAAAAAACAAAACAAAAGTTTTACAAATAAAGACTTACCGAATTCATTAAATGTCTTAAATTTTGCACTAATTTATGTACTCCATGTCGAAGTTGTGAACGTAAATGCTTAGGCCAACATAAATTCGAATTAATTCCATCATTAGACACTACTTCAGCATTGCGATTTATTCTCAATGATGAGGATGTTGATGACGACAACGATGTATTCACACAAATATTTCGTACTAGAATACTCCATGTTTTAGTTAACTGAAGAATTTGTGTTAAACAATCGAATTCCCAAGTATTATTATTACTACTACTATTATTATTATTATTAGTAGTAGTATTAGAAGTGGTAGTCTCTTCTTTTCTGCATAAATCAATATGTTGATCAAATGGAAATGATAATAATGATGGCAAGTATATACTACCCATTGATATGATTAATTTTGATGCAAAACGTTGATGAATAAAATAATTGAACACATTGAATAATTCACTATGTCCAACAGTTAAATGTGATAAACAACGAATACCCGCTTCAATTAAATCTAATGTTGCATTCAATATTGGTGTTGTATTCAATAAATTATTATTATTATTACTATTATTTAATTTATTATCATGTAAATGATATAATTCGCTGTTTTGTTTTAATGAATAATGTTTTTTCATTGTAAAAATTGAATCTAAAGGAGAAATTAATAATTTATGGCATGAATTATTATTATGATGGCTATTATTGATCTCACTAGTTGGTGTTGTTGGGATCGATGATGTTTTCGTTGTCAGGGAAGCGGTTGAAGAAGACGCCGCTGTTACTACTCCTGATAATGGAGAAGTGGTAGGATATTTCGTTGTTTTCATTGGACTTCTTTCATGAATAGCTGTCGCTGTTGTTGAGTAATCCGCCTTTTCTTCGTCTCCATCTTCGTAATTTCTTCTTCCTCTTCGGGATTATTATCGTCACCATCACCATCAGTTTTACATTGGATAGACATATTTAATAATGCTTGACTAAGAGTTTCACACATTGTATGATAATAATTTTTTTGTCCACGTATTTCAGCATATAAAATTTGTAGGATCAGATCAATTCCATTGTGCTAAAAAAAATGGGAAGAAATAAATGCACACGAATGAAAGTCGGGGAGGCCATTTCAGTTGGGGGGAGTCTTTATGGGAGAAAAAAAATGACGAGGTAGAGGGAAAGACAGACAGTAAAAGCCTCATTTGTAACCACCTCTCAGGTGTAAACACTTTCATCAGTAAAGATTCATCTGATTCCTTGATACCTGTAAGATTACTGCTCACTCTTTATGTTCTGAGGGGAGTACAGGGCCTCAGTGATCATCATTTTCACCTGGCTTTACGACTACCCACAAGCTTTTATGGTGTCTTCGCAAGATCTCCTCCACTATGTGAACCTTAGAACCAAGCCCAACAACTCATCGTCTTCCATCATTCAGGTCTGACTCGAGGGCCTGCTTGGGATATGCTGTCACTCAATCGTCTTCTCATCTATTTTTCTTCCGGCACATTTACTAACTTGATGATATTAGATGGTTGGAGGCAATCGGCCACAGGAAGCATTGCTTGACCTCGGTTTCGTGCTTGTTGGCACTCACCAGTCAGTAAGGCGTATCTGCTACCTGGCAGGGAGGAACTCATGCCCCTTCTGAGATTCGAACCCCCTGTCACTCAGTGCTACCTGCAGTCAGAGACGTTACCACTGAGTCATTCAGGCTCGCGATTGACCTCCTGTAGGACTGTAGTGGATACTTTAATTGGAACAACACATTTAAGCGAACAATATTGTTTTCAATTAGATCTCATCAGGCTTAACTCTAATATATATAAGTTTTTTTTCCTTCACGTTCCCAGTGGACCATAAGGCTTTAAGCTAGTGGCTTGAAGTTTCTGTAGCAGTGTTTATTTTACGGGATGAAGTTGCTAGCCTCATGCCCAACCTTTCCTCTTCACCAGCATTATTTCTGGCTCAGCGAGGTAAAGGAGTGCGTCGGCCGGGGATCGAACCCCGGACCATGTGCATGGTCGGCGAGCTTCCTAACCGCTATGCCACCGACGCACATATATAAGTTTACAAGTAAAAATTCAAATTTAAACCAATCATGGTGTTTTGTCTATAGGATAATACGATGGTGAATGTAAATTAATTGGACACTAGTAACTAGTGCGATGTGTCTGGCTAGTCCTTTCTTCGGTGCAGACTGAATTCTATCAGTTAGTTTCTCGCTTAGTTCGCCAGCTGCTTGAATTCATTGTTGCTTACCCCCTTGTGGACGTCCATCTCATCTTCAGTATCTGGCAAAAAAAGGTCAGCTACTGATAAAATTCTGCAACTTGTTGGAAATACTTTCGGAGATGTACATACCTAGTCTTTGAACCACATAGAAGCGCTGATTTGATGTTAGTGTGAAACTAGAATTCATTGATGTCTCCTTATGTAGATTACCACACTTGATTCCACAGTAATGATCCTGACTGGCTTTGATATCCTCATATGTGCCACATATGACTGATACGATCCTGCTCAACGCATCCTGAAAGAGATAATGTCTTCTAGATATCTCCCATTGGTGCTTGGTGGTTTGGGCATTTCCATCACCTCTGCTCTCTCTCTCTACATTCGCCTGGATTTTTGTTTTCACTGACTCTTCTACCGACATTTTGGTTTGTACTTCTAAATCCTTAAGTTTTTGCAACATGAGATTTAAATCATCTGGAAGGTCTACATCTTCTAAGGTCTTTTTATCGATTCAACGTCTGCCTGTTTCCTCACATCTCTACAAACAAACCATTTTCCAAATTTATCCTTAGTTATTCACTCACACACTGATACGCACGACACATAATCTTCTGCTACATTTTATCTCCCTGTTTTTGGTGTTAGCATTCATTCAGACTGAATAAAATGTATCGGGAACATTTTGTGGATGGATACACACTCCGTTCTACTTGGAACTCGTTATCTGGATGATGTACTTGCATTCCCCAGTGAGTAATAATGTTCCCACTGAGGCTCGAACCCAATACTCACCGTTAGACTATTTGATGAGCTATAAGAGCCACCTCTTGTGTAACGGATGTCAACGGGAAAGTTAAAAATTGAATTAAAAATAAATATTAATCACGGCTATTCATTGCTATATATATATATATAATCTACTTTATTCCAAAACAGACAGTACTTATAATACAGAATGGAATTCTCAGCATTTGTCACAATATTGCATCTGATTTACTCAAAATATAAATAAAATTAAAAATTAAAACAAAATTAACCAGAGGAATTTGTCCACATTTACGGTATGAAGTTGAAAATATTTGAAGTACAAAACGAGAATAATAATGATAACAGTAAGTTTGTTTCAAACATTATTACCGATTCAGTTTGGAAATTTTAGCATGTTATAAATTGTAGAATCTAATGTTCTGTTGATATAGTGTGGTGAGGGAAAATACAAAATTAACAGTTATAATACAGCTTAAATGATGTTTGCACTTGTGAGAAAATAAACAAAAACAATTGAGAGGGTTATAAATATAAGAAGTACAATAACGGTAAAGCTTGACGGAATAAGGATGGAGAAAATGGTTTATTTACTAGTGCAAAGAAGGTTAGTTGGTTCATGCCTAACACTATTTTCACCACATAAAGTACGTGCCAAATATGGTATAGTGCAATCTTCATACTTAGACGTACGTGAATAAAGTCTTCTGAAAAAAACTTCTTGTTTTACCTGAGGAGATACAAGATTGGAGCTGCGGGTAGAGTGGGTGCTCACAGTCTGACAAAATTCCTTTAGCGAATTTGTTGCATGAAATCAAGTGCCTATCAATGACGATGTCAACGATATGGCCCAATAGGATACCACTCGTCCTACTGACAGTCAGTCTTCAGAGTTCTACGAAGATGACATAGTCTTTTTTAAGCAATCCAGGAAAGAATAAGCAAGGGTGAACAGTAAAGAAGAATAGGTAAGATGCATGAGTTGACAAACTGTAAGAGGAAAGGTTCAGTTATGCCTGATTGCCTTAACTTCTTGACATAAAAACTCAGACAAAATATTCTTTTAGAAATCGCTAAGATATGGGAAGACCAAGATAGATCAGAAGAAAAAATTAATCCAAGATACTTAACTTCAGACTTGATTTCTATATCATCACTATCATCAATTTTGCAACGGTCATAGGAATTAACAGCTTCATTTAACTTTCTTTTACATCGGAAACTGAAATTAACAGTCTAACATTTGGAAGGATTTAGTTTAAGACCATTAGACGAAGAACATTTGCTAATTCCTGATAGAAAGTTGTTTATCTTAGTGCAGTCTAGTGGGGAGTTAACAGACATTGAAATAGTTAGGTCGTCTGTATACTTAACAAAGTTCATTTCATCATCAGAGTGAGGCAAGTCATACAAGAAGAAAGAAAACAGAAGAGGAGAAAGGATAGCGCCTTAAGGAACACCAGCCTCAGTAAGCAATAAAGTGGACGACTTCCCCTGACATATAGTGTACTGCTTTTTTCCTGAGAAATAAGAATGCAGCCATTTGGCAACTCAACACTCACTTTGAGTTTCAGCAAGCTTATTTAACAAAATACCCTTAGTTACTGAGTCGAAAGCAGATGTGTAATCTAGGAAGGTGCAGTGAACAAATTTAGCTCCTTTCTCTAAACTGGAGACAATGTTATTGACAATTATTTAATTTGATACCAGTGTTATATAAATTAAAAATACCTAGGTAGGTCATTAGTGCGTCGGTGGTATAGCGGTTAGGACGCTCGCCGACCATGCACATGGTCCGGGGTTCGATCCCCAGTAGACGCACTTACCAGAAATAATGTTGGTAAAGAGGAAAGGTTGGACATGAGGCTAGCAACCCCATCCCGTAAAATAAACACTGCTACAGAAAATTCAAGCCACTAGCTTGAAGCCATATGTTCCACTGGGGAACGTGAAGGGAAAAAAAGGTAGTTCGCGAAATATACCCATTAAGACATTGAAATAAGAACAAATTAGTTCAGCGAAGAGTCTCTTTTCGGCGAATTCATTCACTTAGCTGTACAGTTGCAAATATATATACAATTATTTTGTGTGTGTGTGTGTGTGTGTGTAAATTAGGTTTGTCAAAATCAAAATAACAGTTAGTGTGGGTTGTTGATTATATCATCAAAATAATGAAGAAGTTAAAATGTGTGATTAGTAATCAAAGTTGTAACTAAGTGGGGTGAAGATTGGTAAGATGTGAGTAGGGTTACGTAATATAGACATGTTTAGAAAGATTAGATGCTAGTGAAGGAGTTTGGAGACAATTATGAAAATAAACTAGACAATAGGTGAAAAGATTGAATGGGTTAGTTACTAAAAAATTGTTATACGAAAATTGCAAAAAAGAAATTTGATAACAAAATGTTGATGACAGATAAACTTGAAATTAAACCCACGGTAGTAGGAGGGGATGGAGAAGTTTCTTCTGTGTGCATAACTCAGGCTTTTCTATCCAAATCGCTAAGGCTTCGGCAATACAAAGTATACGGAAGCTTGTCGACTTTGGAAGGCTTCTTTTGACTTTATAGATGACTTTGAACGACTTCTCCTTGCAAATCGAATGACCAGTGTTGAGTATATGCTCAATAAGGGCGCTCCTTATTGCTCCGTTGTTACCTTTCCGTAGCCAGGCGGGATAGTGTTCTTGAACTCTTTTAGATAAAACACGCATCGAACGACCTATATACCTCGCTCCGCAAGAGCAGGTGAATTGGTAGATACACATGGAAGTGGAAGTTGTATTGCTGAAGCCTTAGCGATTTGGATAGAAAAGCCTGAGTTATGCACACAGAAGAAACTTCTCCATCCCCTCCTACTACCGTGGGTTTAATTTCAAGTTTATCTGTCATCAACATTGTGTTATCAAATTTTTGCAATTTTTCGTATAACAATTTTCTTTTCACCTATTATCTAGTTTATTTTCATAATTGTCTCCAAACTCCTTCACTAGCATCTAATCTTTCTAAACATGTCTATATTACGTAACCCTACTCACATCTTACCAATCTTCACCCCACTTAGTTACAACTT